GAGCGGAAGTGGACGTCACCACGAAAGTGTATCGTAGTGCTGGAACTTGCAACCGAAACCGTACTACCCGCTGATGCCATTTAGAGCGCACACGTATTTGTGGGAGGAACAAACTTGTGTAATGGATGCATCGCCAACATGAAGGAAATTCGGGTTATTCAATGGCATATTATTGAAACCCTTTGTGATGAGGGTAACCACACTAGATCGGGGGTGGGGGGGCGGCGGGCCGGGGGGGGCTGTACTTTGTCGGGCGTTCACGACCAACAGAGGAACACTTGCACATGACATGACGCAAAACTAACAAGGGCGAAGAGCCCGAACAGTACTCACTCATGTCTCGAACCGTTATTATCCGGCCTATTGTTCCAGCATCGTCCCAAGCATAGGCATAGTACCGTGCACGCTAAAGAAATATCATTCAACTACATTTCAAGACTAAAGTTCCCGACGCGTGGACCAACCACTGTTTATTCTCTAGGAATACCCCCCCGACACGTGCCGTTATCTGTACCACCTATTGCACAAGGGCCATTACCAAAAAAAAGAAGCAGACCTTACCACGGCAGAAGGAGTACCATTCGTCGTGACTCCCAGACTTCTTCATATTGTGGTAGCAGTCGCCATAGTCCTTGTTCACCTCTTTCACCATGTTCATGAACTTGTCGTACGAAATGTCGGGCGGATGGACTCTGTTCGGGTCGATCTGTGCCGCGGNCGCTGGCACACGTTCGTACTGCTGGGTAGGACCTCAACAACCCGTTTTCACACAGAAGGGTTCATCCCCCTGAAGCTCCTACCCACCCTCCTGCGGTAAAATACGAGAAGAGTGCACACTACCTAGCGCTAGGACGGACGCGAGATAAAACTCACTTCGCAATAAAATCTCCCTCTCGACGGGATCCAAACCCCTGACCCTGGGTGCTAGATTGCTGTGAGCATACGAACTACACTTGAACGTGAACGTAACCTCAACAAAATGCGTTCCTGCGGGCTAACAAAAAACGGTATGCATTCAGACCTTACCTCCACGTCCGTGTCCTTGAAGTCCTTCCATAGCTCAAAGTATACCGACCGCTTGCTGCCCGTCTCCTTATTGTCGAGCTCCGTCCTAGACAACTGCGTCCTGCTCGCGGCAAGGCGCTCCCTGAAGCGCTCGGCGACCATCAGCTCCACCGCCCGGGGAACGCAATGCTTGCTCTTCCTTCGGCCGGCGGTGGTGGCGCCGGCCCCTGACGCGCGGTCTTCATCCGCGATCACCTCCAAAACGCGACTGGCGAGGTAGGCATTCTCGTCCCAGTCCATCATTTTCTTCGGGTTGATGCTCGCCCCACTGCGAATGGCGGCACGCGTGGCCAAAACCAGGGACTCCGGAACCTCGACGGTCTCTGGTGACGCCGTTAGGGGCTTGGAGGCCGGGGTCTCACCTTGAAGCACGCAGGTTGACAACCATGGGTGGAGCAGAGAGGTGTCATGAAAAAAAACGGTTAGGGTTGGAGCTTTCGTGCACATGGCATTGGTGCCGATGCATCCGTGGGGACATGCACCAAAATAGCGCGCAGTGTACCACCTACATAGGCTTTTGAACTACGTGACCCCAAGGAACGTAGCGTGGAGACCTGCTGTTTTGGATAGAACGACGCACCCCTTTCGCCGCAGTGTAGGTTACAGCAGAAAATATACTTTAAACATCATATTGGTGTAGTACTCTTTACATCACACGAACAGATACTCGAAGAGTGCATGATTCAGCACCAGGCGTCAAGACATGCTCGTTCGGCGCATGCTCGTTCCATGCAAACAGATGCGTAACACAACCAACGTTGTTTCGGCGGTGTGGGGTATTGTTTGGGGTTGGGTGTGCTGGGAGTTGTAACAAACTTGGTTTCGGGGTGTTGGGACTTCACCAGACGTACAGATACAGCTTGTGAGAGAGATTGTGTGGTTGTGTGTGTGAGAGAGAGAGAGAGAGGGAGAGAGAGGGAGATTGTACAGAGAGAGGTAGATGGACAGTGGGATGAGAGAGGGGAAAGTCAAACACACAGAAGGGTTCACACCTGTTCCTTTATCCTCGAGATCAGCGCAGTAGGGGCTTGGACGCCCACACACCTCGTCGACAACGGCTACGGCCTTCGCCAACACTATGCTACTCCTCTCCTTCGAAAGGCCGGAGAGACTTCGCGTCTGGATAGCGACCTGTAGGAGGCTGACAGGCCATGCTGAGTACGGCTTGTTGTGGTTGCGTTTGAGGGACCTCTGGGTCGCGGATGACGCCGCCGACTGCTGCGGTTTTGGGGATGGAGATTTCGCCCTCGACGGCGTCTTACCCTTGTCCATCACAACAGGGAGTACCGGTACATCAAGCGCCGTGCGCGCCGAGCTTCCGGTTGCCGCGCCGTTGTTGCTGGAAGGGCGTTCCGTGTCGAAGGAGTCGTCACTACTGCTGTCGCCACCGGCACCATCATCGCCGCCGACACCAACGCCGCCGGCACCAATGCCGCCGACATCCTCGTCCCCCATGATATCAAGCAGGGTTTCCGACATCTTCGGAGGACCTGATGGCCTTGCCCCTGGGGCGGCCCTCGCCGTCGGGGGAGATGGATCAGGGGTGTGTAGCGCCGACGATGCGCCAGAGATGCCTGGGAGCATTCCGCGCCCGCTCGAACCTTCGCCGGCAGCAGCGCCGAGATGGCCCTGCTCTCTGTATCTGGCTGGGGTAGCAGCCACCCGGCGACCAGTAGCCCGTCCCTTTGTGCTGTCTGCCATGGTGTCTTGGTTGTGGAGGTGTTGACGGCGAAGGTGACCGGCGACCAGTAGCCCGTCCCTTTGTGCTGTCTGCCATGGTGTCTTGGTTGTGGAGGTGTTGACGGCGAAGGTGGTGTGTGTGTGTGTGGGGGTCGTGCTTGCTGCTTGTTGGCACCAGACAAGCGGCGAGATTAATTTGGAAAATTTGGAAGACCAGCTGGTGCATGTATAAAATGAGCTGCTCGGTTCCAAATATTTGGCGCCAAAAATTTGGAAATTTTGGAACAAAAATTTGGAATGTATAAAACGGCCCTAACTATCACGTTAGCCCAAGTGTTCGCAAGAAAATAGCAAAAAAACAAAAAACGAGCAATGCTACGGTAGGGGGGACACTTTTTAAGACATGGGTCACATGCTGTCGCCCGACGAGGTCCATATTAATGCTCGTAACTCTCTCAATTTTTTTCATTTCAAGGAAACCAATTCTGCCCAGGCAGCCGCCTGGCGTATATCTCGCGGTGTGCAAAACAGAAAACATTTTTTCCGTTGGTTGAGGCAGTACACACCAGTCCGCCAAAACACTCCAGTGACCGAGGGGGTACGCCCTATCGTAGCATCCCTCAAACGAGGGGAAGATGGAGGAAAAGGAGAGGTCGGGCGGCGCGTACGCTAGCTAAGGGAGCAGCGCGCGCCGCGCGAAAGAGACAGCAGGGTCAACTCCTTAGGGTATAGCAACCTGGAATGTGCGGACTTTGGCTGTAAACGGGGCCAATGGATACGGACGAGCCTACAGCGTTCTACACGAGGCAGCGAGACAAGACGTATCGGTGGTGGTAAGAATGCAGGAGACACGGAGGGCAGGTCGAACGGAATTTGCAGCAGCGGGTTTCCGGGTGTTCTGCTGTGGCACGGAGACTGGTGGAGTCCATGGTGTGGGAATAGCCGTGAAAGAGTCACTGTGCAAGACATCCGCGTTCACTACGGAATTTATCGACGAATGCCTGATGGCCATGAGGTTTCTGTTGGCAGGCCACCGTGGAGCGGTCAACTTCGTAGCCGCGTNGGTAAGAATGCAGGAGACACGGAGGGCAGGTCGAACGGAATTTGCAGCAGCGGGTTTCCGGGTGTTCTGCTGTGGCACGGAGACTGGTGGAGTCCATGGTGTGGGGATAGCCGTGAAAGAGTCACTGTGCAAGACATCCGCGTTCACTACGGAATTTATCGACGAATGCCTGATGGCCATGAGGTTTCTGTTGGCAGGCCACCGTGGAGCGGTCAACTTCGTAGCCGCGTATGCTCCAACCGAACCTTCAACCACCGACAGCACACGCATGTTCTGGGGAAAACTTGACAGTCTCGTGCGGAGGATCCCTTCCAAAAAATGTGTGTAGTCCGACTGGACGCCAACGCGCGGACGGGAGATAGGTTGGACGGAGGGGACGGAAGGGTAATAGGAATGTACGGGCGTGGTGAGCTCAACGACAATGGCATGCTTTTGTTGAATTTCGCAACGGAAAACAGGCTAGCTCTCACGAACACGTTCTTTGAGACACGCAAGGGCGGAATATGGCACACATACAACGGTGTGTCGGGAAACGATTGCAAGCGCCTTGGCTGCATCCATTACTATGGACAATCTAAAGAGTACTTTTATAATTAGCAATGTTCCCTAGCTCGCCACGGTGTAGCTCGGACCTGCCGCACGTGTTCGGCAAAATGTGCAGTTCAAGCACGGTGCCTCCTCAAGCGCGCTGGTAATATTGTATCGCATGTGCCATCGTCTCTAAACGAGCATGTCACCGGCTGTGGAGACGCTCCCCCCACCCCCGACATTATATCCGCGCCGGTGAGACTGCAGCCCTTCCGAGAAATCTCCCGGGCGATCTGTCCTGTAGTCGCGAGTGTTCAAGACACAACAGTATTCATACCAACCGCCCCCTTCCTCCCCCCCGGTGTTTTCCATCGGGGTTGGGTTTTCGTCGCTTGGCAACGACGCTGTAACAAAAGCTGCCCGCCACAGTGTTTGCCATCGGGGTTGGGTTCTCGTCGCTTGGCAACGACGTTGTAAAACAAGCCAACCCCTCGGTGTTTGCCATCGGGATTGGGTTTTCGTCGCTTGGCAACGACGTTGTAAAACAAGCCAATTCACTTCGTGAACTCGGCAACCAGGTTACCGGGGGGGGGTTTTGTACCTCTGTTTTTTTTTTGTACCTCTGCTTTTTTTTAGCGGTAACCATGATGGCGGTCGAGTAGATCATGTTGTGCGGGGTCTAGAACCCTCAATCCGCGCAAGGGGGATGATCGCACCATGTTGTGTTTATTGGGCAAGCACCCTCGAGGCAGTTACACAGTGCTTACAACTGTCTTTGG